TCTTGTTGCTGTTGTGTCTTCTCCGAATGAGCTTCAGCTCTTTATATAGCCCTTGCTCTTCTTAACCATCGCTGGTAGTCCGCAGACGTTACACAGAAATCCCGCGTCTGTTATACGTTTCCATAACTCCCGCAACCGTTACTTGTGTAAAACGTGCAAAAAATAAAACTTAAGAGGCAAAAAACTCATGCGAGTGCGGTGTGACATGGCGCGCGTGTCATGTCGTGGTGAGGCGAGGCGAGGCATGCGTGCGCGCGCGCGTGTGTGGAGCAACAACCCAAACAACACTAGGCCCAAAACACTAACTCAAAGCCCATTGAGATGTGAACCATTATAAACTTCTTGAACTTCTTCTCATTTTTCAATGTGGGACTATTCACAAAGGCAAAATTGCCTTTTTATGAACCAAAAGTCCAACAACCCCCCTAAAAGACAATATCGACTAAAACAAAAAAATAAGTAAATCAGTAAATCATAAAAGATATAGGTTGGGCAACCTTTCGTATCATGAATTCGAGAGAGGTAGCTTCCAGCTTTGAAACCTTTCCTTAGTGAGTTTATCGCCACCTGAGGGACATAATGGACTAGGCATTGAATTAGGCCCCTTGAATCAGGTATTGACAAAACACACACACAATACGTCTTCATCTATTGAGCAAAGCGGGTTGAGAGCGTTAAAGGTCATGCTCATAAAAAACCGACTCATGAGAGTTTCTAGGGTTAGCCCAGCCCCCCCCCCAACCGCGGCCATCACGGTTCCTCTCACGTAGGTAAATCCTCAAAGGGTACTATAGGTGTTTATTTAATACCCCCCATAATACACACGTTGGACTTATTAAGAGTAAAACTCAGCCTAGCCAGCTGTATCATAAGAGCATCGTCATCATAGAGAAGGAGTAGTAGCACAAGCTACATAGTGATATATGAATATATCTGGGTCGATACTCCACACGAGTGTCACTAGTCCAGCTTGTTTCTACCACATTGAACCAATATTAGGACTAAGTCTCCAAATAAGGGTTGGGTTACCACTGTCAGTGACCTCTCTTATGGGCTAAACCCCATCTCCCTCGATGAATTCAGAACCACACTCCTAGATAATCCCTTAGTCAAAGGGTCAGCAAGATTTTTCTCAGACTTTACAAAATCCAAGATCACAAGTTTGCCTATCAGCCATTGTACAGACTTATATCTTATTTGAATATGTCTGTTGAGTTTTTTATTTACATGCACTTGCTTTAGAAGCTCTATGGTAGATCTAGAATCAGAATGAATGGAAATTGGAGGAAAGAGTTTAGAAACCAAAGGAAGTTCAGAAAGTAGATCTTTTAACCATTCTGCTTCTGTGCAAGTGGTATCAAGAGCAATCAGCTCAGATTCCTTGGTGCTCCTGGCAATACTGTTGCTTACATGATTTCCACGATACAGCAGCATCACCAAAAAGAAATACATACCGAGATATTAACTTTACACTGTTAGAATCTGTGACCCAATTGGTGTCACTATACCCTTCAATAGCATCAGGGTATCTAGTATAAGTCAAGCAATAGTTAACTGTCCCTTTCAAGTATTTGAATACTCTCTCTAGGACAGACCAATGATCTAGGTTAGGGTTACTGGTATACCGACTCAGTCTCCCTACAACATAAGCTATATCGGGTCTGGTTCGGTTTGATATGTATAGAAGAGATCCAATCATCTGAGAATATTTCAGTTGGGATACAGGTTCACCTTCATTTTTCTTCAAGGATATAGAAGAATCATAGGGTGTGGAAACATGTTTAGAGTTATGATAGTTGAATTTGATCAGCATTTTCTCAATATGTGAGAAAGACTCAAAGATATTCCTCTGGTATCTCTAGAGATTTTTATTCCAAGTATCATATCAGCAAGACCTAAGTCTTTCATGTCAAAATTCTTGAAAAGATATTTCTTGAATTTTAAAATTAGTTCAAGAGTTGTTCCAAAGATAAGAATATCATCAACATAGAGACAGAGAATGACATAGTTTTAAAATTAGTTCAAGAGTTGTTCCAAAGATAAGAATATCATCAACATAGAGACAGAGAATGACATAGTCATTGTTTATCACTTTTGAATAAACACATTTGTCGTGTTCATTCACTGTGAAACCATAGTGAGCAATAATTCTGTCAAATTTCTGGTGCCATTGTTTAGGAGCTTGTTTAAGACCATACAGAGATTTAACAAGTTTACAGACTTTGTTTTCCTGGCCCGTGGTAATGAGGCCTTCAAGTTGGTGCATATAGATCTCTTCATCTAAATCACCATTCAGGAAAGCAGCTTGACATCCATCTGATGTATGATCAGCTTATGGATAGCAGCAAAGGCTAATAATACTTGGATAATTAAGATTCGGGCTACAGGAGAATATGTATCAAAATAATCAATGCCCTTTTGTTGAGTATAGCCTTTAGCTACTAATCTAGCTTTAAATTTATCTATGGAACCATCAGCTCTAAGTTTCTTCTTGAATATCCACTTACAACCAATAGGTTTACAACCTAGAGGTAAGTCGGTGAGTATCAAGGTATGGTTTTTCATGATAGATTTAATCTCATTATCAATAGCTTCTTTTCAGAAAGGAGATTCAGGTGAATCCATTGCTTCTTGGAATGAGCTTGGATCACCTTCAACAAGAAATGTAAAGAAGTCTTCTCCAAAATCCTTTTGAATTCTACCTCTTTTGCTTCTTTGAGGTTCAATATCTAAAGACTGAGAAGAGTTGGAAGATGGTAAATCAGAAGGAAGAGATGAACTAGGATTTTCTGAGATTTTGGATTTGAAAGGAAAGATATTTTCAAAAAAGACTGCATCTCTAGCTTCAATGATAGTGTTGTTGGATATGTCACTATAGTGTTGTTGGACATGTCACTAATTTTAGAGTTAATAACTAGAAATCTATTAACATTGCTATCTAGTGCATATCCAATGAAAGCAACATCAACAGTTTTAGAACCAATTTTCCTCTTCTTAGGTTCGGGAATAGCTACCTTAGCCAAGCAACCCCAAACTCGGAAGAAGTTCAGATTAGGAGATCTCCCCTTCCATTATTCATAAGGAGTTGTATCAGAATTTTTCTGGGGAATCCTATTGAGAATAAAACAAGCAGAGAGAAGAGCTTCACCCCAGAGATTTTTAGGTGCTCCTGAACTGAGTAACATACAGTTTACCATGTCCATTAGGATTCTATTCTTTCGTTCAGCTACCCCGTTAGACTGTGGTGTATAGGGAGCAGTAACCTCATGAATAATACCGTGTTCAGGTTTGACACTTTTTGAATGGTCAGGAATTGCCATAAGTCCAATTTGAGTTTACTAGTCTATGTAGATGGAACTTTATTGGGTAAAGTATTTTTTCAATACTACTAGACCAGAAACTTAATTAAACCTGCTCTTAACCAAAAACTCTAAAAGTGAAAAGATTAAAGTTTTACTCAGGTAGTTTGGCCAGGTAAGGATAGTACTAGAGGTTGATCAAAGATCTATTAGTACCTCATTTCTTGCAGAGCGCTTTACGCAACCCTTAAACTTTATCATGGATACCAACTAATCCAAGAAAATTTGAACCGGTTCACATAAAGATTTTTTGTTTCTGACAGATACAAAAATTGAGTACAAAAGCAGCAAAATAATTTTTTTTATCTACTTTAGATGCAAAATTAGTTAACAAATTAAAACAGTTAACTATAGGTTAAAATGCAGATTTAAATTAACAGTTTAGATGCAAAATTAGTTAACAAATTAAAACAGTTAACTATAGGTTAAAATGCAGATTTAAATTAACAGCAAAATTATTTTCTATCTTCTAGATTGCAAACAGTTAACTATAGGTTAAAATGCAGATTTAAATTAACAGCAAAATTATTTTCTATCTTCTAGATTGCTGTTAAAAATTAAAACAATTATTATAAAACTGAAAATAAAAGAGTTGGAACACCAAGTCTGAATGGGTGCAGTCATGATTCACTGTCCTAGAAGATAGAGGACCCGCCTTTCGCCCTGGCGCAGTCAATCCTCACCCCCTAGCGGTAAAAGCCTCCGGAAACGGCCAACCTCTGTACTCGGGCGCGAGTAGCAGAGCTTCTGCTCAGATGAAGATGGTTGCCCGAGATATAAGTAAATAGTAACTGAGAAAATTTTTGAGGAAAAATGTAAC